TAAAAAATGATGCTGAAACATGCCATCTAAAAAAAAAAAAACACTACCGGCCTGCAGTCAAAATCAGAATGTGAGACTAAAACTGTCTCAAAAAATTTAAACAAAAAAAAAATAGGCGCCAGTCACGGTAAACTAATATGCCTGTATGTCCGGGCAGCACTTAAGAAAAGAAAGAAAGACTAAGAATGGCAGTATCACTAAATATAGAAAGAAATATATAAACAGGAGATTCAAAACGCAGCGTGACCAACATGTGTGAGAACACCCTAATGTTCTAGCTAAAATACATATAATTAGCCAGGTATGTGGCGGCAGCCCCCCTGTTAATATCAGCTACTGCAGGAGCTGAGGCAGGAGACATCGGCTTGAACCGCTCAGCGAGGTCAGAGGTTGCAGTGACGCCGAGACTGGGCACTCATCTGGCACTCCACTCTAATGGCAAGGCAGAGTGAAGAGTACACCATCTCAAATAAATATAAATATAATATAAATGAATAGAGGGTGTAGAGGGCATATATCATAAGTTGCACAAAAATAAAAATATCAGGGGTCTGTTTCACTGTCTCTTTTCACAGAAATGTGTAAATTTCATAATGTGCTTTTGAGACTTTTGTTCACATTTCAATGGTTATCAGGAATCGTTGCACGACCTGTTAGCTCTTGTGAATTGTGGGTTGTCAGGTGGATAGTGTCCATTAGATATAACTTCCCTTCATTTCTTCTCGCCATCCTTCACATATATAAATAATCGTGGCTCCTAAATATAAAATAAAGGCCACTTATAGATTAGATAAAAAATTGACACCAGCATTAACGATATGCTCTAAAATAAAAAAAGTAGTGGGGCACGAAACAAGGCAATGCATAAAAAATCAAAAAAAAAAAGAAGAGTTGGGAGCAGTATAAAGGCGATGATATAAAAAAAAACAGAGTGATGTTGGAGATGACCTGATTGAAGTTGAAAAAATCATAGTTATGGGACCATAGTGGAGGATATAAATACCCAATTAAAATACCGAATAAAATAAAAAAAAAAAAAAAAAAAGAGGTGGCGACAGAACTTAACACCTAAAAATACTGGGGATTGAAAGAAGAGAACACAAGATTTGCGATCACAGTGAAAATTATAAAAAAAGAATACCATGGAAACTTTTTGTTGTTATAAAAATAATATAATAATTAATGGAAACTGCTTCTGTTGATGGGCCATAATAGGCCTGAGAGCAGGGCCAATTGGTGTCATGTATCTCAACCCTGCAGCTGTGCGAACTCAACCTGCCTCCTGGGTAACAAAATGCAATTCTCCATGCCTCAGTGCCAAATAACACAAAGAGTTAAACAAATGGGAGGCTCTCTAGCAGGCCCCACCACCAGAACAGCAAGTTTTTGTATTTTAATAAAAAAAAGAAAAAAAAAAACGGAGTTAATTCCCAGCCATGTGAAAAAAAACCAGGATGAAAACAAAAAACAATACAATCTTGACCATTGCGACGATCCGAACCCACCTCGGCCCCTGCCTCCCAAAGTGCTGGGATTATAGACATGAGCCACTGCGCCCAGCCAGACTTTTCATCTGAGAAATAATCTGATGAAAGTAGGTTTAATCTAATAGCTCTGACAACAGATGGACAAGAATAGGGAGAGAGTAAAGTCAAAGGAATTGTATAGGAGACTATGAGTGAAATCCAGATAGGAGTGATCAAGTACTAGGCCATAGTGGAGGAGATGGGCATGGGAAGGACAGATCAAAAAGTCATTGATGGCAGGTGGAGTGTTTAGGGCCTATAATCCCAGCATTTTGGGAGGCTGAGGCAGGAGGATTGCTTGAGCCCAGGCGTTTGAGGCCAGTCCGGGCAACATAGGGAGACCTCATTTATACAAAAAATTTAAAAAATTAGCCCAGCATGATGGCATGCTCCTGTGGTCCCAGCTACTCAGGAGGCTCAGGTGAGAGGTGCTTGAGCACAGGAGGTTAAGGCTGCAGTAAGCCATGATTGCACCATTACACTCCAGCCTGGGAGACACTACAAGATCCTGTCTCAAGGAAAAAAAAGAAAAAGGAAAAGTCATTGATAGCCAGGCCTGGTGACTCACACCTGCAATTCCAGCACTTTGGGAAGCCAAGGTAGGAGGATCACTTGAGCCCAGCGACCAGCCTGGGCAACATAATGAGACCTAATCTGTATTTATTTGCTTGTTTGTTTTAAAGCCATTGACAAGGAAATTTTTATTGGATTTGTTACCTACAGCCAATATAGAAGTTAACTAGATGTCAGCCAAGCCTATGGAAGCTTGTGTTCTTGGATGACTAATCTAAAAAACATGAAATAAAATGTTTCATGGCATGTTTCTGTGGCAACCAACCAATGTTACATGTGGCAAGACTTGTGCCCAGTAGAGCGTCACATGATTCTGGAGTGCATATTGGAGAGTCAGTTATTCGTTACTGAGAGAGGCCCACTCAAGGCAACTCAAGAAAAGAGAAAGAAAAGCTTTTGTACATCCACAGAGTGATCTTTCTGGAATGTAAGGATTCCTGAATAGGAACAACTGGCCTGGATTATAGAACTGGAAACACTTTCATAATATTGCTTGTACCTTTTCATTGAACATATCTTGTACAAGGCCTCCCTAGAGGCTATTCCAGGCCTTGAGGCCACATAACCCTTCTGACTGCCTCTCTGCCTGCATTTTCCCACTTGCTTTCAGTTCAGATGACTGAAAGAGAACTAGGGCCTAGCTCCACTTTTCAAGACAGGGTGCAAGTTACACATAACTGAGTGGCCAACTATGGCAGGGGATAGGTTGTGGAGAGTGGCAGGGTGCGGGGCTTACAAAGCAATGTTTATTCAGCAGGGACATGGACCTACCCAGCCCCAAATGAAACATTTGCTGAGTTAGAAAGGAAACTGGAACTTTTTGGTGTACAACCTTAACTTCTGAAATTGGTATCAGGTGCAGAATCCCCATGTTACCCCACAAAGCCACAGTCAAGGTGAAAGTGTGAAAAGACTGTGGGATTGGCTCACTGTGGTTATTCCTGTGGTTTATTCTAACTAACAATTCTCCCTGAATCCCACAGCAAGTCTGCTCCTGCTGAGTCATCTGGCCTCTCTGACGGCACCCGTCAGTCTGTATACAAGCTTCCTTATATAATGTTTATAAAGAAAGGGGCTGGGCGCGGTGGCTCACACGTGTAATCCCAGCACTTTGGGAGGCCGAGGTGGGTGGATCGTGAGGTCAGGAGATCGAGACCATCCTGGCTAACACGGTGAAACCCCATCTCTACTAAAAATACAAAACAATTAGCCAGGCGTGGTGGCAGGCATCTGTAGTCACAGCTACTCCTACTCGGGAGGCTGAGGCAGGAGAATGGCATGAACCCTGGAGGCGAACTTGCAGTGAGCCGAGATTGTGCCACTGCACTCCAGCCTGGGTGACAGAGCAAGACTCCGTCTCAAAAAGAAAGGGCGCAGTTTGCAGGCCAGTGAACTAATGCACCCTCACCATATAGCCCGACAAAAATTGATCTGCCATGGAGCTCTAAAGAACTCATAATTTCTCCAAAAGGACCATCTTTCTGCACCTATACAGTTGTTGAAGATCAAGGGTCAGCAAACTGTGGTCCACAGGCCAGTTGCATATTTTTGCACATAAAGTTTTATTGGAACATAACCATAGCCATTTATTCACATAGTGTGTATGGCTGCTTTTGTGTACAATGGCAGAGTTGCAAAGCCTAAAATATTTACTATTTGGCCCTTTAAGAAAAAGTTTCCTGACCCCTGTTTTAGTTAGTTCTGGAATGATCAGCATGTGTGGAAAATCCTCGGGTTGATGCAGAAGCTTAGTGGCTGCACAGTAGTGATACGTTGTTTTCCCAGGCTATTTTATTGTTTCTTAATTCCTTAATCACTTTCTGGATTAAATTCAGGGCCAGAAGTCACTCAGACATCTCTAAGGATTGTCTTACTGGCATAAGCTAAAGCACATATTATTCTGCATTCATGGATTAAAATATTAAGTAATTTGATCTAGATGATTGTTTACAGTTGAACAAATGCACTGAGTCTGTTCTGATTATTTACTCAAGGATTATATTTTCTTACTACATTCACTCAAGAATAATAGTATGTAATCATTTCCTGTGGGATCTGCAATGTTGAGGCCCTCCTTCAAAGTTAGTTCTCTGATTTGACTCCATGACATGGAGTTGGCCTTTAGGTTATGTGGCTGAGGTTCCTCAAACAGGATGTTAATTTTCCACTCTTTGTGGCAGGAGAAATATAGTCTAATCTCATGATTTAATGAACCAAAGAGCCGTCTCCCTTTTCACACTATCCTTCTTTTAAAAAATAAATGTTAATTTTGTTTCTTTGTGCATCTTTTGGAACAAACTTGTATTTTCAAAGTGCTCACCCCATACTCAGGTGAGCATACTCTCTAAGGCAGCCCATTTGGAACAAACGAGCTTTAGCCAAGAGTTTAGTGATAAAAATACATTGCTTGCAAAGCTCTAATTTAGCACTCTGGTGCCTCCTACATGGTTTTGCCAACAAACTCATCTTTGCCTGAAATATAGGCTCTTCGAAGGCAGCTGCCACTCTCTCTTCAAGATGCGAGGGGGAAGAGAGTTTGAGGCTTTTCATTGTGAAGGACCCTCCACCCCCGTGTTCCTCCCACAGGCTCCTGATTCACACAGCACAAGTTAAGAAACAGGGAAATGGAATCTTCTTGCCGAGGCATGCAGCAGCTAGCTCCTTTGAATCAGAAAAATGTATGTTCGTCATCGCCAAGTTTGAAATGCAGATCCATCACTGCTGCTGGAAATTTGAGGCTGGTTCAGAGCCAGACCAGCCGCTCCTGGGGTCTTTTCTATGTAAGAGGCAGTCTAGCCTGTTTAAGGTTGCTGTGTCCCCAGAGCCCTGGCACTCCCTCTGACAAGTTTCCACTCACTCCTTTCTGGTCTATCCAGGAACCCTTCTCTGAGTTTTCAAGGACTGGCTAGGTGTCCTGCCTCAGAGTCACCTACCACCTGCATTTTCCCCATCATAAATTTGAAATTGCTACTTTGCCTATCTTTGCATGGGCTCTTCCTCTAACTACACTGTGAGAGCCTTAAATCCAGAAACCATGTCTTTTTTTTTTTTTCCCAAAAAGACTCTCAGATGAATTTGCCAGGACTAAAACACAATTCCCTGTTTCCCATATATAGCCCACTGTAGAAATTCAATGGTTTTTGAATGAAAGGATGAATGAGTGAATGAAGGGACTTCAGATCTGACTGGGGCAGAGACTGTGAAGCTAGAAACTTAGGTTGCTTTCCCTTCCTTCCCTTCCCATTCCTCCTCTTCCAATACCCAAGTCTGACAGGCTATGAAGCACCTCTATATATGGCTGATGGAGCTTTAATTGTTCACCCTATCTTTTTAAATTTAGCACTGTGCCCGAAGTCCAGGCACTTAGCTCTGGATGCCCGACTGCAGAAAATACCAAGAGCCAGTAGAAAAACTGCACCAATGCTGGGGGTCCTATTTTAATTATTCTAGAAAATCACTTTTTGCTCAGTGTTTGGTTTCATTTGGGGCTGACCTCCTTTCTTGCAGGCCCTAGATTCGTGACATCTATATTAATCAGCAGAATAATTTTAGCCAATTCCTTACCCTCGTTTTTCCTTCCCCTCATTTGGACAGCTAGCCTTGTTTGTACTCCTTATCTCAGAGATGAGATGTGATAATAAGAGGCAGAGAAATAAAAGTATGTTCCTGGCTTTTGGATTCAGAAGTTGCCTTTATGGGAAGGAAAAAACAAAACAAACAAATGTGGCATAGATACAATATTTGGAAGAAAAGATAACAAGAGTAGAAAAGAGTTTCTTATTCTTAGGGGGAGGAAGTGAACTCATGGGAAGGTACAGAGGGCAGAGATGTTTCTGGGTCCTGTGTGCTACTTCACCCTGGGAAGGTGACACAATCGCAGATGTTTCTGTGAGAGTTGGAAGCAGAAAAGACACATTCTTTGCCTCCTCAGTGGAGCCTCGGGGAAGAAATGGGTGCATAGTGGGTGCCCACTGAAGAGACACAGGCAGATGTGCAAAGTTTTCCATGCCCCAGTGAGAAAGAAGCATGTCTCTTCATGCCCAAGAGCACATCAGAGAAATGGAGAGTGCTTCTGAATCCGAAAAGGTCACACAGTCAAGAGTGAAGAATGTCTCAATAAATACCAGTGTGGAAGGATGATCTTGAGGACCACATCCCTCACTCTCTCTCCTTCCCCTCCCCTTTCTGCACGTCTTGCATCTCAGAAGCCCCTCCCAGAAACTAGATACAACCCCAGGGGAAGGCGAGGTTGAAATCCACAAGTTCACTGAGATGGTTTCTGACAGTGCAAAGAAAGCGAGACTTGAAATCAAAATTAGGTTCTGTTTCTCACATAAATGTCTGGACTAGAATTGTGTCCACTGCTCACATCTTATATTCAGGGATGACATATCTCATGGAAGAACAGGGCTCAGCTGGCCATTTAAATGTCTTCCTAACAAATGTTAAGGTTCTAGAAAGCAAATGGTGGGTATACTATCCAACATATGCCGTGAAAGCAGAGCCAATCCTGGGGGAAAGTTTCTCTCCTAATGGTAAGGTGTCCATATTCTCTGCCCCAAGAACCAAGACGAGTGATCTGACAAGTGTGAAGACTGCATTTCAACCTGAAAAGGATTTTTCTTAAACTCAAGCATGATATTAGCTCTACTTTGAATACCAGTTACGAAAATTCATAACAAGCTGAGGTATCTTCACTAACATTGCAAATTAATTTCTTGTATTCATCACAATGACATTTATGCATATTTGAAAAGTAGTCCATATGGATGAGCATATTTTTCATTCACTCTACAGACGGAACATGCACACTGGTTTGCAGATCCCTTGCAGTGACTCTACATCTCCTAGGAATCTGAGGTTCACAAGGTGAAACCCACCAGGCCAAACAATTTAAAATTGGTTTTGTTTTGAAAGTCCAGTAAGTATGATGGCAATGTCTTGCAGAAATTCCTCTTTTAGTATTCCAGTCTGTGGGCTCTGGCAGAAGTAATAGTCTGCTGCAAACAGATCACTCTTTTTTGTTTGCAAAGTCTTCATACCAGCTGAATCACAGCTTGCTTTTCACTTTTCGTAACACCTTGCAACATCGCAAAATATTTGCTGGAGTTTGTGAAGGGCGGCTGCAGAATTAGTAAACTGAAAGGAGGCCTTCCTTTACTCCCACCCCTGTCAGCACCTTCTGTTCTAGCAGACCGAAAGGCAGCTTGAGAACTCTGATTGCTTCTCCAGATTATGACAATTCTTGGCACCATCGCCCGGGGCAAGAATGGAAGCAAAGGAAACATTATGGAGTTTTGCAGGTGCCAGTACATAATATTGTCACTTTACAAACTTGAATTTATAAATGACTTCGTGAAGGTAAGTTGCTATGGTAACCAGCCTTCTCAACTTTCATATCTGGAAGTAAGGATCATATGGCCCCTTCTGTTTGGGACTATGTATTCTGGATTTAATGAATAACTACCCGTGCTCTAACTTCTAGTTAACTAGGCTCATGGGATGCTAGACTAGGAAGCAACATTAGCAATCATCTCATTCTACCTCCTTCATTCATAGATGGGAACTGAGACGCAGAGAAGTGGCGCTGTACAGCTAACACGTGTCAGCCCTGAGCCTGTGGTTTCTCACTTAGTTTTCTTTTTTCTTTTTTTCAAAATGAGTGATTTTTGCAAGGCAGTTTACTTGTATATTGTTATTTTTAAACATTTTAGATTCAGGGTCCATATGCATATTTGTCACATGGTGTGCTGATGGGGACTGGGCTTTGTGTTAGTCAGGGTTCTCCAGAGGAATGTTTTCTTGCTTAGTTTTCTAGTGCTCTTTTCTTTCTACCACACTGCCTTTCTGAAGGGACGCACCCAGCTTCCACGAGTGGATAAGAGACATGGAACCACAGTTAGACACAGGGCCACCGTCACTTCTTGCTGAGATGTTAAAACAAGTCCTCTCTATGTGCTGGTGTGTGAAATGTCTAATTTTCTCTATCAGAGTTATTACAAATTCCACATGACAACAACTTTCATTGATTCAAAATGATGTATGAGGGGACAGTGTGGGGAGGTGGGGAATGACCTGAAGAAGCATGATCTAGTATTGTGGTTCCATAGTCTACCATACATAGATTAGCAGTCTGCAAAGAATTAGACTGTACCCGAATTGTAGTGAACATAACATAAACTTCCTTTAGTAACTCAAAAACAATGTCTCTTTGGCTTTTTAAAGCCTAATTTCTTGAACAATAATTTCTGTTGCATAAATACATGAAAAGGTGCTTCTGATAAAGAGCTTTCCTTCCAGTTAAGAAATCACCAGGCCACAGAAGATTTAGCTGTTAGGATTTTCCATAGATTCTTGGAGTGAAGAATGGCAGAAGCTTAGAGTATTTAGTACATTCTTCTAAAAGCAAATCAAAATGCAAAATTAAAACTAAACAGTGAAATGAGAGTGTTCGTCCATTTTAAAGAGAGATGAATACAAACGCTGGATCCTCAACAGTCTTTAAACATTGCAGATCACCTGGATATGTGGTTAAAATGCAGATTCTGGTTCAGGAGGTCAGGGAAGAGACCCAAGATTCTGCATTGCTAACAAGCTCTCGGGTGCTATCAACGCCGCTTGTCCTTGATCTACACCTTGCGTAGAAAGGGACTAGTTAACGTGCTGTCTCCTTGAATGCGTTTTCTGTGAGGGTCAGCCCTGACCACCCCAGTCACAGGAATCTTTCTAGCCTCCGGATTCCTAGTGCTCATTTTGTATATATCATCCACAAGGTACTTAGGTACTGCCGTATATTGGTATGTCCCATATGTGCATGTCTTCTGTCCCCAACCAGATTGTAAGCCCATCTGTGTTTGCTCAGCCCTGTGTGTGCAACAGAGGTGCTGAATGAAGAACTATCGATGATTGATTGATACGTTAAAGACTACTTCCTCAGAATGGTACACTTCACTCATCAATGGAGCTCAAGACGTAAAAGTCTGGTTTAAGAGACGTTGAATCTCTTCTGCCTTTTATTCTCCCTTTCTTGTAAGTTGACTTTTAAGAAATCAGTGACTGTGTGGAGAGTTCTAATTGGGAATGTAATAAAATAACTGTGGGGGTGGGAGGGGGGCCCTATCACACCAGGAAGCGTGTTTATTGGTTGCATTAGACCACTCAAGTGGAAGCACTGAGATATTCTGGAAAGAACATAGGCTTGGGGGCCAACAGATCTGGGTTCAGAGCCTTACTCTATCACCTACAAGTTGTGTCTCTTTAGAAAATTTACTTAAAATTACTGGGAATTTATTTCATCATCTGTACAATGGGCCACTTTTTTCTGTGATTGTTGTTAAGAATTGTAGTAACTGGTAAATTGCCTAGCACAGTACAAGATGTTACACTTCCAAGTCAAATTGGAAACTGAGTGTTAGCCACCCATCATTCTGGTTTGAGAAAGCTGGTGGGATAGTTTACATGCATGGCATTAGCGCCATCTAGTGGTATACTACTGCCTACGCTTCCTTACAGAATTCTGTCTTCTTTCATTACCTTTGAATGGCCACTTGATTTATTCATTTTATTCAACAAGCATTTATTGAATGTCTACTGTATGCCAGACACTGATTTGGCAGCTGAAGTTACAACAGTGAACAAGATAGACATGGTCCCTGCCTTTAGGGAGTTTGTGGTCAGGTGGGAAGATAGAAATAAAATAATTACTGAAATAGAATTTGAATTCAACTTACAAAAAGCACTATGAAAGAGGACAGTGTGTGAGTCTATAATAAGGCTTCCCTAGGGAAGTGACATTAGAGGTAAGAAGTGTAGAATCCAGCCAGGAGACCACATCAGGCATGTATCAGCCGCCCAGTAGCACCTCCCTGGACGCATTTACCCCATCCAGGATCAGGATCCTGCCAGTCTGTCAGGAACTCCTATCTTGAACTGTGGCCTATTTCGTCAATCATCTAATGTCTATCACATCCCACTCTGTGCAAGTCACTTTACGTACACTGCTGCTGACTGTCTCATGTTATCCTTTTACAGGCGATGTGCAGTGAGGTTAAGTAACTCGTACAAAGACATAAAATGACATGTCAGAGTCAAGATTCACACCCAGGTCTTTCTGCTGACAGCGCCCGTGCTCTTTCCTCTACTGAAGCTGTCTCCCGGATGCCAAGCCCAGATCTCTTTATTCTGCATTATGCTGCTTGCCTTGGCAGAAAGGAAACCATTAGGAGAAGTGCTTGGGGAAAACTAAAATGCAAAGGGAGGGAGGGAAAATGAAATAACAGCTCAGTGGGTCATGTGTGAAGGGCAGAGAGGAAACTGCTGACTTGGCTAGTTATGTTTCTCTGGTGTGATTTTAGGAAAGTAAACCCAAGAGATCTCTTTCATCAGGAAAGAAAGTATCCCTAATAACGTTGCTTATACTCTTGTGGTTTAAAATGCGTTGCAGCTGCTGCTAAATTAAAATGATTTGGAGGATCATTTGGAGCAGAGAGGTTATCCTCTGGAAATCTATAGGAAGTTGCAAGGATTAATGACCGCTAAGGAGCAAAACATCGCTGGGTCAGAACCTAGCTGCAGGACTTAGAGGTTTTCTGCAACACGGGACTTTCAGCTTCAAAACTGGGACATTCTCATGACAAACTTAGGACAGTTGGTCGCCTGGCAGTGAGCCAGACTGGGAGGATCTGATGTACCCGTGGAAGTTAGGCCGAAACACTTACTGAAATCTGGGGTCAATTTGAGGCCTTGGCCACAGACCAATGCAGAAAAGGTGGACAAAGGGTGGTACAGATTCCTCAGTGCGAGTACCTTGGTACTCAGTCCCTAGATTACCAACCCAGAACACCTGCTCTAGGTCTTGCATGCAGAATTAGTTGGCCCCAGTTCTGAGGGAGGGCTCAGGCGGAGGACAAGTATGACCGCAGAATCAGGCCACTCTGTGCTTCAGCTTCCTCATCTGCAAAATGGGATAAATAGCAGCACTTTGTGCCTAAAACTGCATGTAAGCTCTGTTAGTTAATATGTATAAAGTGCTCAGAATGGTGACTGGTCCATATGAATATAGGAAGTAGCACCATGGAATTCTCAGGAAGAGAAACAGGTGTGTGGCCCTGGCTGGATCATGTCTATGATAGCTCAGTTTTCCCATCTGTAAAATGATGAAGTCCCTGCCAAAGCTTGCAGAAGAAACAGAACAAGACACAGTCAACAAGGAAAGAAGTCACAGATAGTAGGTAGGAACTTGTGCTCTGAAATCAAACCCCCTAGATTACATCCAGCTCTGCCTCTTAGATGTTCATTTATTTATCTGCCACACCCCAGCCACCACCCCAAGACCCAAGAAACCAGGGTTGAAATGCCAGGCACCAAAGCTGCTGCAGCCATCATCCAAATCCCCCACACAGACCAGGGGCCCCCAGTCACTGGCCCAAGGCAGGATGTAGCATCCAGACAAAGCGGGGAATGGAATTTGCCAGATAATGGATGCCAATGTTTTGAGGAAGACAGCAGCCAAGGGAGAAATGGAAATGCAAACCAGGTACAAACACCAGTGGGCCAGGCGCTGTCCTGAGCACTTTATGCACTAGTTCATCTAATTCTCCTAGCAATCTTATGAAGTAGGCACTATTATTCACCCCATTTTACAGATGAAGAGACTGGGGTGCACAGTGGCTATAACTTGCTAAACTCACACAGCGAGCCAGAACTTTAGGCAAGTTTGCTGACATTTCTAGTCCCTAGTTCCTCTCAAAAGAATGAGGATAATAAATTATGACATCTACCTCATAGATTTGTTATGCAGATTAGATGGGATAGTCTATATACAGCACTTAGAAAGGATCGGAAACATTTTAAGCACTCAAACCCCAAGTCACTCACTAGGTAATTGGTGTGATAAGATACATAGGCTACAATTACCAAAATTACAGCTGATAGTTTAAGAAAATGGCCAAATGTGCAAGGTAGTAAAAGTCTGGGGTGGGGCAAGGGACATAAAATACCACAGGAACTGAGGAACAGGGGGTCAGGTCTGAAGAATCTGTTTTGCATGAGACACTTTGTAGGCCTTTGGAGAGAAATGGTGAAGAGGACTTTAAGCATGGACAGTTGGCCTCCAAACTCCGGGCTTTCATTCCCTGAACTAAGAGGGACCACGAGCAAGCCCTCACCTCTGGGAAGAAGCCCTCAGCAGCCCAGATAGGAGAGCTGAGGTGTCTGGAAAAGCCCACACCACGACCCGGGGCTGGGCCAGCTGTGGAGGGTCAGCAGTGCAGCCCCGTCTTGACTCCTGCTGAAGGCCTGGGCTGGGCCGCAGCTCTAGCTGATGTTCCAGATTTCTGCCATGACCAGCCTCCTGCTTGCCAGCTTGAAACCACTGTTTGTTGACATGATCTCCCTGACTTCATCCATTTAGACCATCTTTGGCTCACTGACCTCAGTCCACTCACTTTGCCTGCTGTATTTTTTTTATTGTGCCCCCCTGATTCCAGGCAAGACATTCCATTCACTCCAGCCCCAATCTGGGAACCTTGTCAGCAAAGAGGATTGGCCAGGGATGAGGAATTGTGGTGAGGTGAAAGGAACACCTCTGATAAGAGATGTAGCAATGCTACTCACTAATAGCTCTAGATTCTTGGCAAAGTCCTAGGAACTCACCCCACATTTTTCATCAGAGGGTGTATTTGTTGCACTTTGGAAACCTATTAAGAGTTGTAATTAGCAGCAGGGAGAGAACAAGAACTCTTCTCCGGGGCAAGTGATAAGAGCAGTAAGCACTGAGTGGACAGTGATCATCCAGCCAAGCATGATCCCTTTCCTCCTCTTCCATCTCTTAAAAAGAGACTGTGCTCTCAGGCTCAGGGAATTCTACCTGACTGTACTGCTTTGCGTCCAGATGGATTCCCTCTCTCTCCTGAGCCCTTTTGGGTACACGGCTGCTTTGGACAGTACCTGGTTTGCATTTCAATTTCTCCCTTCTGCCTTCCTCAAATCACTGGCCTCTGTTATCTGGCAAATTCCATTCCCCCCCTTGTCTGGATGCTACCCCCTGCCTTGGGCCAGTGCCTAGCAGCCCCTGGCCTGTGTGGAGGATTTAAATGATGGCTGCAGCAGCCTTGGTGCCTTGCATTTCAACCCTGGTTTCTTGGGTCTTGAGGTTATGGCTGGGATGTGGCTGGTGGAACCCAACAAGGAGATTTACCTCCAACAGTAAGGAGGGGTTTCTGTGAGAGAAAATGAGCACCTGGGAACCCAGGCGGCCAGAGGTGATTGAATTGTTCCACACAAACTGGGTTCCCCTCAGGGCTGATATGGCCTGGAGAGACACCACTAGAGTCATCATGTGCCTCTAAGAGTTTGCTAGGAAAGTCTCCAAGAAAAGGCTAGACTTTCATTGGGCTTGAAAAGTGGGCCACCCACACTGGGCACTCAGGTCTGCGTTTCTGCTCCAGTGTTCCCTCAGTCCAATTTTACACAGCAGTAACACCCTCTTCCACTCATGTTCTGTTATGTTCTGCAGATCCTATAGGGGAACATCCTGATAATGAAACCTTTGTATTTTCCATTGCTGCGACAAAAAGACCAGATTAAACATTTTATGACACTTTTGTTTTTGTTTTTTCTGTACGCTGCATGTGAAAATATCTATTACACAAATCAAGTACTCTGCTTTCCATTGCCAAGCATCTTTGGCACAGGAGCTGTAATAAGAAGTGTAATGAACATAAAACAGTTTTTAGAATCACTCATTTGGTAGCTGGTATATGAAACTGACAAGGCCCCCTCTGCCAAAGCTGCAGAAGGTCGGGCATACCCTTCCCTTAGCTCATATGGCTGCAGAGGAAGGAGGTGTCTTTCTTTGGACTTCATCCCCAGGCAGCCCACACACTTTGATGCTCACCTGTCTGCCTTGGGGGACTGGAGTTGAATGACTGCTTGTTTTGTTCCTGGGATCTGTGGGCTTCTACAGTCATCCCAGGCCTCCTTGCCTAATCGGACTCCCACCCATGCCATCTGAGTAGTTCCTCTTCTGGTCCCGTCACTATCATCTCCCTTTCTCTCTCTCGAGGCCTGTCCTTCTGTAGTGCATCTTTTTAATAACTGGGAAGAGTCTCCTCCGACCTTCCCTTTGGAGACTTTTCCTCCTCAGTCAATCCCCGCCCCATCCAGTCCCATCCCTTGTTCCCAGCATCCTGTTCACCATCCCTTTCACTATGCCACTGACTTACCCAGACTGGCTAGGACATCTCTATTTGCATTGCATTGCAATATGGACTGAGGTGAGCTTGCCTATGAAATCAGCTGTTAACTTATTTTTCGTTTATTGTGATTTTAAAGGGCAGGGAGGAGAAAATGAATACTGAGGGAAGGAAAGGAGACCTAACATTTATTGGGTCCTTGGAGTTCTTCAGATAGATGCCTCATACATGTTAACTTATGCATCCTCACAATGATCTTGGGAGGTGTTATTTACTCTGTTTTACAGAGGAGGAAATGGAGGTTAAATCACTTACACAGGCCGGGCACAGTGACTCACGCCTGTAATCCCAGCACTCTGGGCAGCCAAGGCGGGAGGATTGCTTGAGCCTAGGAGTTTGAGACCAGACTGTCTCTAAAAAAAAATAATAATTTTTAAATAATCACTGCACAAAGTTCCAACGGTAGTCAACAAAGCAGCCAGTTATAAATTTGTTCTTCATTTAGTGTAAAAATGAAACTTTTCTGAATGTTTCAGTCTTTAAAGAAAAAAATCATGAAGCATGCCATCCGATGAGCTGTGTGACCTGGGGCAAGTCAGTGAACCTTTCTGGGCTATAGTTTGAACATCTTTAATGTTAGGAGCCTGTCCTAGAAGGTTCTAGCTCTTACGAGCTTTTAACCCAGGCTTTAATTGCCCTTGTTCTCAAAAAGGACTTCTTCATGTCCCGTCCAAATCTTTAAAGAACCCAAGTCATGCTAACAAGAAATAAATGACTAACACTCCGGGAGCACTAATAAGGAGCACATCAGGAATTCCCTTCCTTTTTCCTGCCAGGCAGCCATTTCACAGCCGTGCTCCAGCTCTCCTAAATCAGGATCTGTGGGTGGACAGGAGGGTGAGAAACACAGTGCTAAAGGGGCCTGGGTTTCTATGTCACCACCTCTGCCCACCCTCTGCCCCAGCCACTGTAGCCAGCATGCCTCCATCTGGCTGTCCTTCCCTACGCAGCCTGCATGCCCCCCATAGCTGGCTGCACTATGGGAAGGACTGATCCCCGCCAGACAAGCTGGACTTTCCTGGCCTCCCTTGCACCCTGGGAGATCCTTGTCCATGCGGGGGAAATAAGATTATATTTATTAAAAACAATATAATCTACAGCAGCCATGTGCACACCTTGAAATTCCTGGGGCCATAACCTGGAAGGGCATTTCTTTAATCCCTGCAATTTACAGTTTTTACTCACCTGGCTTAGGTGGGGGAAAGAATCATACATACCTGTTCACACATACATATGTATATGCGCGTGTGTATACTGACTGTCTCCTTGGGATTTGCTAAGCCTTTCACAAGAAGCCTCAACAGCCCTAGGAAACTGTGCTCAGGACTCTGATTCCACTGGAGCTTGCCAGCATTCCAGGGCCACGTCAAGACTTTTGTAAATTGCTGAGAACTGAATTCTGACCCGGGAGCAAAGAGTGGACAAAGAATGGCACGGAGATGCCAAGGAAGCTGAGTTCAGGAGGGAAAGTGAAACCTGCCCCACTCACCATCTTTGTCTTTCTCTTCTCCCCAGCGTCCCAAACCCCAGCCCCTATACACACACTTGAAAAGAAGATTCAGCAACTGAATATGAGAGGAATTTCAAGGTGTGCACCTGGCTGCTGTAGATTATATTGTTTTTAATAAATATAATCTTATTTCCCCCACATGGACAAGGATCTCCCAGGGTGCAAGGCTTTGGTACCTGTGAAACTATGCCCAGTAATTGATCTAGAGATTGACCACCAGAGGCAGTGTTATCATTTATGACAAGTTTCCTTTGGCACTCACCACATCTTACAGCTTCTCCTATTTTGTTCTTGTCCCAATCCTCTTCCGGCCTCCATCCAAGAAGCTCTGTACAATTCAACTAAATTTATAGGACACTACTCCAGTTAGCACTGTGCTTAGGAATACAGAGTCCTTCTGGTACCAGGTCTGTTCCAAGTTCTTGCACTTCTCAGGGTCACAGACTTGACAAGAACACTTGACTATGTTCTTGCTCCAACTTACAGAAACTGGAATGATGCAAGAAAGATGATGACAAGCTCATACTCAAATAAAATACCTGGGTCTTTCATCAAAACAGTAGCAAAGAAGCACGTATCTGTACATTTTAAGTTAAAATAAGATGTTGAAGGCTGGTGTGTTTCATTGTGTTAGTGATTATCCTGTTCTAACTACTTTTTTCTATTAACTGGCCAACAACAGTCCCAATTGCTTTTTGTTTTTGTTTTTGTTTTTAGACAGAGTTTCGCTCTTGTCACCCAGGCTGGAGTGCAATGGTGCGATCTCAGCTCACTGCAACCTCTGCCTCCCAGGTTCAAGCAATTCTGCCTCAGCCTCCCCAGTAGCTGGGATTATAGGCATGCACCACTATGCCCGGCTAATTGTTGTATTTTTAGTAGAGACCAGGTTTCACCATGTTGGCCAGGCTAGTCTCAAACTCCTGACCTCAGGTGATCCAACCACCTTCGGCCTCCCAAAGTGCTGGAATTACCAGCATGAGCCACTGTGCCCGGCCCCAGCTGCATTCAATGAGAGCATGTGTGGGGCCTGAGCCAGGTTGATGGACATATGAGAGGACCAGGCTGGGGAAGGACTCGGGGCATGGACTTCTGTCTGGATACAGCACCAAGTGGGACAGGGTCGGGGGTCAGGGAGATTGGATTGGCCAGAGCACAGGAACTTGCAAAGAAATACACAACAGGACGTAGGTAGGATAGAGAAGAGGCAAAAATATATTAGTAGACACCAGTTAGTGTAGCACATGATTTCATATCCTGTATATAATTTAATCATAGCAACCATGTGAGAAGAGTACTATCTCTTGACTTTCAGTTGAGGATTAGGCCCCCAAAAGGCTGCTGATACAACAGTACTTAACTTCAGATGGGGCTAGGGACAGTGGTTCCCCAGCCTCTGACAGGGTTCATCAGAGATTATTTATTTGCTTAATCTGAGCTACTTAGCAGTAAAGCCTAGATTCCATCCACCTTTTGTCTCCAGGCCTAGTGAATGCTCATTTCATTTTACCTCGCCTACCTAGTTACTACCATATTAACTTGCTAAAAATATTCTATGAAATGAATTATATCTGTAAATCAGTGTAAATAATGTATGTCTTGCTGAAGAATAATAAAATAACCACTTGTGACCCCACCACCCAATTTAAGGCATAGAATATTACCACTGCCATCGAAACCCTTCAGAGGCGACCGCAATGCTGAAATGTCCGCTGATGACTCCTTTACCCTTTACAATGTTGCCGCATATGTCTGCTGTGTAATTTCCATTTGCCCCTCCAGATCCATCTCCAGGCTTCTCCGTACTGCTGTGTGTCCCGTGAGGCTGGCCCATCTGGACTGCACCAGGGAGCTCCCTTGATGCTTGGCTTCCTGGTGGGTTTGGCCAAAGTGAAACACGGACAGGAAGGCAGAGGATGAGAATGAGGCCAGGGTATCTGCTCCCCTGCTCCCTTTCTGCTGGGGCACCCACCGTGAATTGGTTGCGTTCATCTACCAAGGTCACTCTTGGCTCTGGCAAGTAGCCCTCTCTACCCTGCAGCCCCTTCCCTGCCCTTCCCGGCTACTTCAGGTCTAGTGATGGTAAAGCTTCCTGACTGCTCTGCCAGCCCTAGAGTGCTGAACCATTCCCTGTTGGTTTCCCAACCCTAGTGTTTCTTAATCATTTTTTAAAATCATGACTCCCCTAAATACTCTTTTCAGACTTTTTCCCCCAGTCATCTCCCTGCCATGAAATTTTAATACCACACATATACTGTTGATCTATTTATGTACTGTCGATATCTTCATGTTTTATATATGACAGGAATACTATATTTTGCTCACCAAGAAGCAATTTTCACCCCTCGAGGGTGATACTGACCTTATTAGGAATGTATACCCTAACCCAACTCGTATTTTTGTAGTTCCCTCTAACACATTCTCTTTAGTCACCCATTTCGCATGTGCTATCTCTTTCTTGCCAAGACACTAACATATATATGTTATGCAACATATTGTTATAGTATATGTATTAGTTAAACGTATAATAATATAACAATATACTGTGTCCATAAATAATATTTTAGTTCAGTCAGGTTTTGATCTTTAAGTGAAGGAACACAGTATGTTTTTCTTTTTCTTGGCCTTTGTCAATATTTGTGAGATTCACCCATATTGATGCGTGCAGTTATTGTTCATTTTTACTGCCATATGGTATTGCACTGGATGAACATACACAAATTTACAAGTTTGTTTAGTGGTGGAGATGGATATTTGGGTTAGTTATTTTGAACACACGTCACAAAACATTCTTGTACGTATCTTTTGGTAAAGACCTAGATACACATATACATAATA